TCGTTGCTCAATTTGGCTGCCACAATTATTGTTTTCAAGGGCCATGTTTTCCCTCTCAAGCACATCTGCCTCACTGAGGTATTTTGACGTTTTGTAATGATCTCTATCCGTTCACGCTATCCACGTAAGAAAAGTTGGAAAATATTTCTAATTACTTTTTAGGCCGTTTTGTCAACTTAACCCAGTTTATGAGTTTGTATGAGTTTCTCAGATACCTGGTGGTCAGTGGTGACTTGCTGATGTCATTGCACTTCGTACATTCTTCACAGAAATCGCTGTTAAACACCGTCGAAACGGGCTTAATCAGATTTCAGGACCACAGATGATTTTAAAATATATATGGGCACCAAAGTACGGCTGCTTCTGGGAGAGCGATTTCAATGTCAGTTCGTATTGTTCGATCTTTCCATATTTCTTGAAGTTTCCTGAAATCTGCGGAGGCCAAACTTATATCCCGGTTTATTTTAAAGTCAGTGCTGGTATGGTTAATCAGCATCGAAAAATTCTATTGAAATGGTTCATTTCATTGCCCAAATATCACCTCTGAGTTTTATGAGTCTAACAGTGGTGTCGGGTACTCTCATCGTCCTCTATGTTTGGCCGCGACCTCTAGCTCCACTACCACAGCAGCGTTGTACACGCTTTCGGTATTTCTCAATAGGTCACTGGTGTAGTCACTCTTCTGCAAAGCGTAATCGGCGTGATCAAGCCCCTTTAGGAATCCCGCAGGATATCACGAGCTGCGTCGCTAGCCGATGGCAAAACTCTTATTGTATTTTGCGATGAAGCTCTTTCGTATCACATAATCCATCATAAAGTTTAATGACAAAGGAAAGAGCTCCTTTTCTTGATGAACCCCATTGGCGATATTAAATCAATCCATTAATAATTCGTCAGTTCAGACAGCGTATTTTGTTCCTCATAACTGATATTATATCAGGTTTATCATCGTCGGCAGGATTTCGCAGTGTCGAATAACGACGCTTAACCTACCCCTGCATGTTCATTTTTCGTTATTAACTTTTTTACCTAAGAAGGAGGTAGTAAGTAAATTTTGAGGTTGTGTCGTAGTCTCAAGCCTTTTACCTACAGGCGCGGTCTTCCCGTCTTCCGTTATAATCTTTGCACTGTGTTATTAGGCGACCTAGAGGTGGCCTAGTCTGTCCATGAGGATATCACTCCTCGATCAACGCCGTTCATCTCCTGCTACAGACCTCACTACCTTAGTTTTTCCCTTCTATTTTCGATGACACCGTCCTTCACTCCCGTTTCCTGTCAGATCACCGACCTAAAATTCCCAACATTATTCTTTCGACGGCAGATATCTATCGCCATTCGGCTTTAGGGAGGGGCCATGTCTCACAAATATACAACATTGCCAGCAGGACGGTAAAACAGAGGAAGCGGATGCGGGTTTCTTTCCTGATGTTGTCGACGACATCATTCATGGAATGGAATGCGCGCCAACCGGCCTTCTTTCTCCGTTAAATTTCTTCAGTCTTACGGTGCGGCATATGGATTGAGGTCAATGACCTTGACCAAGGTAAATGCACTTATCAACTTCGATCTTTGGCCTTTCATCAGGACAACCGATCGGAGTCTCTTTCGCTCCTGCGCCTTTTCTCTCGAGCTCTAGTAATATATTTTGTAGATGAATCACATGATGTTATTCACACAGTAAGACGTTATAAACCAGCTTTTAGTGGCTGAGCTGTTCACCATTTATGGTAATCCCACCCTTCCAGTTTACCCGCCAGAACACCGTTGACAAACAGGTAGTGGAGAGTTTGGGGGAGAAGGTGTCCCCTTGTTTCACCCCCTTCTCGACAGGAGTCCGTAGGGGGCTTCGAACAGCGTGATGTTTGCGAACCAGCCTGGCCGTTTCTCTTAGTGGGTTGACGTGACGGGGGTGGATGCACTGTTCTGCCAACGCAACCTGCAGGCGTCATGTTCTCGTATTCGACGAAAGCTATGCAGATATAGGGATGGAGTTCCCTGAAGTGCTCGAGGAGTAGACTTAAGGTAGCGATGTTTTCCGTTGTACTGTAGCTCTTTTGGAATCCTTCCCTTTGACAGTCTGTTGGCAATAGTATTGATGGCAAATTAGTGAGAGCAAGCAAATTTGGCGATTGTTTTTCAGATCTTCCTTCTCGCCGTTCCTGAACACCACGACTGTCTTTGACTCCTACAGTTTTGATGGTGTCTTTTCCGTTTCATGATAGTAACTGTACCTCTAAACCCTCCACGGCCTCTGATCACCTGCCTTGATCACTTAGGTTGTCAGCCTAGCTATCGACCAGGTTATTACTTCTTTCATTTGCTGTGCGGCATGCTGAACTTCGTTTGCGAGAAGCTATGGTGCACTTCCTTCCGATTGTTGGAGTGATGGTGGGGTACGCTTGTCTTTGACACAAGGCGATGGATGTAAAGGTTCGCATGTTCGCACAGATAGACCACATCTTACTTCTATCAGACGTTAGTGAACCATCCCCGTTGTTAAACGCGGCGATGGTCGACTGATGAAGGTTTAACTGTCTCTCGTTCCTCGTCGAAGACTTCTGCGGTTTTCTGCCAAGTTCCCTAATATTCTAAATCGGGAGGTATCAGAGTTGTCCTTCTGCTTATACGCGATGAGCTTGCAGATAAGACAGCACCTCATTTTATCGGTCCCATCTCCACCCCCCTCAAGTTCGTCACGTCTGGCAAACTCTTAGTCACTTCTGAGAACCGTCCTGGTTTCATTCTTCAGACATCTAGGTTGACTTTACTCAGTTTCTCGTGTCTGATGATGGCAGCACTCCT